CTGAGGCGCGGTGTGTAAGGAGACAACAGCGTTAGCTCTACAACTCTCGCCCAACTTTTCTAGATAAAAAAAAATGTCGTCCTGACATTTCCTAAAATTAAAAAAAGCTGAGTAAGGAAATAAGCTTATTCTGGATATGTTACTTTCGGTAATATGGCACTCTTTCTCTCACCAACTACCTCACATCTCTGAGCTTTCCGGCAGTGAGACGCATCGAATCTCTTAACTAACTTAACGTCACACAATAAGCGTGAAAGAAAAGATACCTAAGCCAGTCACCCAAGTTCGAACGCGCTGTAACTGCGTAACCAGTAAGTGCTATCATCTCGAGAAGGGCAGTGACACACAAACAATCCTTTCAAACTAATCATCGAAAAAAGATTCCAGGAGAGATGTGGACAGTACATATTCAACACTACGAAGTTTCTTAAGTAAGTAACACTAGTAAGAACAGATCGGCTCAAAATTCATCCAAGTCAATAGGCTCTAAATACATGGAGCCAGCTCAAGGCGATATCGCAGAAGACCGAACACCCAACTTACGTAACGTGTGTGGATCGCATCACCAAAAGTCCTACCTCCGTGAGGAAGCCAAATATAAACAATTGTGTGGCCAGTGCTATACGGTTATTTGACTAAACGCATACTGCTGTTCGAGCGTTTTTTGGCAGACTCAACTATGGTAGTCGAGTATATGACACAAGAATACAGTCATCCAACAAAAGCACCCATGATCTTGTAATTCCGCTGCACTAATCTCTGATAAAGGTGCAAAGTCAGTGTCCATAAGGTACCCCTGACCAAAGCAGAGAGTCGTAAAAACGTGCCACACACCATACGTGCAGTCGATAAAGACGTTCCAGATCAATTATAAAATGGCCAAAATTACGTTAATCTAAGTTAGGAACCCTCCCAAAACTAACCATCCCCAAATCCAGAACAACATGCCACGTGCACAAATGAGTCATACCGGCCAAGGATAGTTCATCCCAACGTGATACCCCTAAAATATTTTAACGCAAGGATGGCGACCATCCTGCGGGATGAGGAGAAATCAACCGTACTAAAAATGCCAACCTGGTACCCAAAGTCCTGCTGCAAAGTGGACCCATAAGCTCTATTGAGAAAGAAGAGCAGCCCACCACCACTGGACAGAGTATAACATACATCATCCGGTGTAAGTCCTAAGCTACCAGATAGCATGCCATAAGCCCCCCAGTGAAACTCCCAAGTAATCAGCCCGAACGCTGTATAAAAATCATGTTCCACTCAAGAAATCCCTCCGTAGAAGAGGCCTTTCGTCAGAAAAATGTGGAGACTGCCATAGATCGAACTATCAAGTTCAGCACCCACCAATGTATGACAGAATTTCAATAAGTTCTCTATATCCCTCATCTTCAGATAGAATTCGTATTATCTCCTGAGAGCCAGTCAACTAGTAAATATCTTTTCCAATCAACGTTGCTCCTCTGACTCTTGCACTCTCTCCATTTGCTAGATTAAGTCACAATGGACTAGCGTGATTAAAGACTCTGCCTCCTCGTCGTGAGATTGTCACTCGCCTCATACTGCTTTATACTCTGTATCGCCGTGTGCACGAATCGAAACATAAATATCGTACATAACATTCTTGCTTCCAGCATGCACGATTCTCTCCCATATCTAGTATAAGAACTCATAACTTCTGATCAAGAAATGTGGCGTCGTGATTGATCCTCATCTGAAATAGATATTTTTCGAGCTATTGAATGTAGAATTATAGATGATGTGTGCGTGCAAATCTCCGCCTCAGACGCCAACACAAGAGATATTGCACTTAGCATGTCTAAACAGAAAGAAGCAACCTGAAATCTAATGAGTCAGGATGCATACCAGATCATCAACAAACAGCGTGCAATCAACTACCTCTTGAGCACATAAATCGCTTCTCTCTAAAAGAGGAAAAAGCAAGTAACGTCGAAACGAACAATGTCCAACACTAACCAGATTCCGACGTGAAAGAAAAATCAACGCCCGAGTGAATGGTCGACTCCTCCTATCGAAATCGGAATGAATAAAAACTATAATAAGAAAACTCAACCTACACAATCCCCTAAGGAAACTAACTAACCTAAACACAAGAATCCAATGATATATAGAATCTGGTCTATTACTACATGTTGATTCTTGTCTATTTAGAAGATAGCTAACAAACCAAGAAATGTGGAAAGGAGTTGAGATGGTATTTAGGCTCAAGCGTACGAGTGATCATGTAACATGAATGCGTGGTCTTGTTCTGATATACCCAAATAGTACCCGATAGAATTTTCAGATGTTTTCCCTAAGGAACATTGAGATCTCAAAGAGAACCTTTCAATGTACACTAGCGACATGATACTCACATGATGAAGTACTCCTAAATATGCTTTATTTCTGTATACCTGATACTCGAATGCTGGCGTAACAAGCTTATCTCGAGTGACAGAGTCAAACAAAGTCCTCTCTCGTCACAGTGCTCGGCAACCGAATGAACATATACTTACAGCATTATGACATATCATCTGTAATAGTGTATGTCCGCAATGAAATAGAGAAAATATACTGAATTCCGTCTGATTTAGTGTGTGTCTACGCGTCAGGTAGCACTCTCGTTCGATGATTGTGAGATGGAAGAATCAGTGGACGGGACTCGAGAAAATGCGCATCGGCTTCGATGTTGCAATTAACCTGTAGATCTATATAATAAACACTCGCAATAATAAGCGCTCATAATCAAGAGATAAAGTAAATAAACTCGTTACGCATCGGATCTCCTCATGATAATTGTTATGCATGCTAGATGGCGTAGCGCTTGTAGCCAATCATTGCTTGTATTTTCAAGAGCGACATAAGTATCTGAGATCTTCTGCGATGAGAGTAGTCAGTCGACACAGTGAGGAGATAGCTCGTATTGTCGTCTCGACAGCTACAGAGGCTTTACAAATAGCTCTCCTTCTCTCTAGAAAAAAAGATAAATTGCTTTCAATACTCAGTACTTAACTCTTACAGGCGACTTTGGAGCATACTGTAGTTTCTATTGAGCTATTTATCGCTTTGTTGGGCCCGACTCCAAGACCTACACCGCACACTACGCAATGTCCTTCATTTATAGTGCATTGCAATAGGTGCTTAACCTTCAGAGAAAGTGTTCAATATGAGAGTATCTGGATTCAGTTTGTGATCGTCTTCATCGTGATATTCTGGTATAATTCTACTTCTGAAGAAGATCCAATGTCCACCGAAGTATTTAGAGATTATCAGTCGGAATTGGATAAGACGTGTTAGACAGCGAAGCTACTGTGAGACCAGAATACCAATCTGTAAAACAATAGGCACCAAGCGATCAGTGTATGCCTAAGTCTCTCCAAGTGTGAATAATCATGTTGAAAGAGCATTTCTTTTCTGGGGGCATATTATGAGCGAGCGGAAGGTATTTCTGTGGATCCCCAGAAAGTTCAAGCTGTTTGCTACTTGGCCAAGGCCCACTACGTATTTGAGGTACGTAGTTCTTGGGCAGTTGGTTATTATAGAAGTTTAGTGAAGGGATTTCCCAGATTTCTACACCTCTGGGCAGGTGTAGGGGTTGGAATCTTGGTGGGTAGGATGCGGCGCGGTGCGACCGGACACGGTTAGGGCTTGCTGCTAAGGGTTGGATTTGTGGTGTGTGGATCACGGGTGGTGCGACTGGACACAATATTGTATGCGGTAAGGCATTTAGGGCTTGCTGGCAGCTGGCGGGAGGGGTAGCTCTGTCTAGCACGGAAGTACGAATGCTCGCGAGCGGAGGCTAGGCACAGTAGGTGCCAAGCAACGCGGGTGAAGCAGGATCGAGCGCATGGGGGGTGATGTCGGGTTGGTTCCAGGTTGATGTCTGGTTTTTGGGTTGACCCTAACCTGACCCGAATTCGCAATCGGGTCAAGATTTTAAACCGAAACCCTACCCGTTTCCTAAACAGGTTAACCCTAACCTGAAATTTTCTGTGTCATGTTCGGGCAGAATTTTTGAGCCGTGTCAAATATTGACATAGGCCGGATCAAATACAGTTAATTTCCACCTGAATTTGAAGACAGAGTGAACATCAACTATCGACAAGCTATGTAAGAACAACCAAAGCTCACAAGAAGATTCTCAAATTATCCTTAATAACACATCACTCTCTAAATGACGTTACTCAACTAGTGTGATCCCTCAAAGAGCATAATAATTATTTTAACTATGATTTTATTACTAGGTCTCACTATAAAATTGATAGTTCTCAAAATTAACATCTTACTTAACATGATTGATGCAAAATAATTCCCCCCAGTAAAATAAGCGTAGAGATTGAATAATAGGTCATTGTTAGGGACCCCTAATAGTTTACTCATATCTTAGAGCCTGAATACTTCTTATTAGTCAATCTACTTACAACCAATGTCAAACACTTCTTTGACATTGAATTAAAAGCTCAAACCAGACTCCTTAACTCAGCAGTCTTCACAGTCATCATGTTCTAAATTGAAATTAGCTACATGATTTTATCCTATGAAAAATCTATGTCTAGGAACTAGATAAAGTATGCTTCTTTCTTCACATTATTCATAGAAAAATCTCTCGGATATATTTCTCAATCTTTTCTTTCAAATATGCTAACGTTTTCATTCCAATCTATTATTCTGTGCGGAGGTTAGATGCAGAACGTCATCCAGAGATCAACCAGAATACGTCATGTCAGTGGTACCGAGCCTCGGTACCGCTCGATCAACCATAATACGTCACGTCAGTGGTACTGAGCCGCAGTACCGAGCGGTACCGAGCAGTTCCGAGCAAAGGAGTAATGTGACGCATTCTGGTTAGTCTCCGAACAAAATTCGGCGTCCGCACAAAATAATTAATCATTTTTAAACCTATAATGCATATTATGTCAAATTATTTGGAGAGAGATATATAAAAACATGAAAACGGTCTAGAGCTTTGCTTAGGCCTTTTCTAGACAAAAATCTGTTTGGAAGCAACAGTTCAATGTTCCATAAAACTTTGGTGAACAAAAGTTGCATTACACACTTCCAAATGTTTAATGTATACTACGGTACTGTCGATTCAATTCTCATCAAATAACAAAGCGCCTGAACAAATATATACGTATATTCTACTCAGCCTTGGCTGTGATCATTTTCACTTCATTTTGTTTCAAAATTCACTTCATTTTGTTTCATTCTGCCATTCCTTCTTCTAAGCAGCGCAGCAAAAGTAGGCATATCTCCCTTTCTTCTCTTGATTGCAAAAGATGGAGATCGAGTAGCACTTCTTGTTCCTTGTATTGCTGATACTCTTCTGGTTTTGGACCATCTCCTGCTTGCTGTCATTGAATTCCTGGGACTAGACTTTCCATCCTTCAGGATGTCCATGAACTCGTTTGCTTCCTCACCCATCGAGTTCTGAGCAGCCATTGATTTTTTCATATTGTAGACCTCCTCTTCCTCTTCAGCAACTCTCATTGCTTTGATTTCCTTTTCAATGAGTTCGCTCTTCAACAAGATCTCCTTCTCTTGTGCTTTCAGTGTCTCAATCCATGCATTAATAGCTGCTACCTTCTTATCTGCTACTTCATTGGCTAACCCTGCCTTCTTGCTCAAATACTCATACTCCCACTTTGAGATACAAATCATAGAAGAATTCTGAGAATCTATGGCCCTGTTCTTCACTATGTTCTCCACCATGCTCTTCAACTTCGCAAGAGCAGCAGCTTCCGATGCTTTAACTGTCTCAAGCTCTGATATTTTGTCCAGCAACTGCTTCTGTGTGTATTTGATATCCATTTCAGTCTTCTCAATCTCTTGTTTGATGTCACTCGTCTCCTTGCTGGCCTTCTCCTTCTCTTCCTTTGCAGTTTCCACTTCAGTTTGTAGTTGCTGAAGTGCGTCGCTTAGATTGGAGACGATTCTTTTGGTCCTTTCCTCTGCCAAAGTTTCGGATTCAAGCTTTGATCTTGCTTTCAAGAGCTTTGAATTGAGACGCTCGATAGTTGATTCTGCATTTTTTTCCACTTTCTTCATCCTACTTGTTTCTTTGGAAACTTGAAGCAGCTCAACCCTTACAATATCCATTGATGCCATGAACTGAAAGCCCTCTTCTTTGATGCTCTCCAGTTCATTCTTTGCCTTGTTCAACTCATTGTCAACCATCTTCAATTGTTCTTCGTCGTTGTTCTTGTTGATGTTGTCCTCCGAAATTTCCTTGGGGAAGTTCTTCTGCATTGATCGAACAAGCTCCATCTCATTCTGCAAAACGCTGACATCCGTATTAGTAGCAGCTAACTTTTCCTCAAGCTCCTTGGCCCTGCTGACTTCTCTGCGAACCTCACTGATTCTTTTCTTGGTTGACTCCATTTTCTTTGAGAACTCTATAGCTTCCACAGCTCGCTGGGATACTATTTCCCTCATTTCCTTCTCTGCTTCGATCCTCGCGAGCTCAACGAGCACATGCTCCTCATTTGCGTCCTCAATCTCTTTTCTCAGCTTTTCCACCTTTTTCAGTGAAGAACTTGCTTTCTGATTGTGTACTTCGATGTCCTTCAAAGCCTTAGCTTTAGATTCTATCGCCGAGGAAAAATCAATCTTTAGTTTAGCGAGTTCTTGCTTTAACCCATCCAATTTCTGCGTAAGTTCTGCATACTGAAGATCTTCGCCTTCATTTGTTGAATTCCTTAGAGATTGGTCTACCTGAGCATTGGATTTATCAATCTTAAAAACAAAATGTTTCTCGGGTTTCTTGGCATGAAAGAGCTCCAATTCTTCCGGGGCTTCCTCCTGCCCAGCTGATCTATTGGCTTGTTCGAGCTTCTTCACAGAAAACTTCTCTTGGATAGGCGAGTTCTGAATGTTTTAGAGAAGTTAATGGTTTGATAAATCAGAAAAAAAGAACTGGGGCAGAATCAGTTGAGTCAAATACCTGAAGTTGTGAGATGCTGGCTTTGTTAATTTCTAACTTTCTACCATCGATTCTCTGATCTCCATAGAAGTTGATGGTGGCACTCAGAGACCCAACTCCTTCACCATTACTACTTCTCTCCATCTAAACCAAAGCTTTAAAAACTTGTTACCTAGCAAAGTAAGACGAAACTATCCAATTCTGTGAAGGAGCTCCGTCCTTCAGACATGGAGGTTCTGTATTACAAGTGTTCTTACAAAGAATGCTTAGTTGAAGAGCTTTGGATTACAGAGAAGATGAAGTTCTTCAGAATCATACAGAGCAAAGATTCCGTGCTTATATGATTAAGAATTGGGGATTTCAAGCACAAGTTGTCTGGCTTTGCTTGCCGGCGAGGTAAGGTTATCAGCTTTCGAGGAGGCGAAGGCCACAAGATAGGTGGGACCGACCCGTTGTTCTCACTCTGCTGCAGAGTGAGGCTGAGATGCATCCACGCTGAGCTCAGGGGATTCAATGGCTGGGATTTGTTGGAAACGTGGATCTGAAACTCGCTAATGGCCAACCATCTTTGATGGAAGATCAGAGGAAGATGGAGCTAAACGTTAACATTGTAGCTAAAGATAAAATTTTCATGATGGAACATATTGTCAACTTGGGCTTAGGCGATGGCACGTTGCTAAGCGGCATGATGCCACGCCTTTAGCCTATATATATTATTGCTTTCTGAAATATTCATGGTTATAAAGAAATATAAAATTTAGCGTCTTAATTATATATGAAGATCCAATACACAATTAAATAAAAAAGAGAGAATGCAATATTTATAAAAGATTTCAAAATTTTTATGTAAAAAATTCTGAAAAGGGGGAAAAATTATGGGACCTAGCCCAATTTGAATGAATCCATTAGTATTTAGAGTTGATTACAAAAACGGTCTTTCATTAGAGGGAAGGTCTTGGCTTGATGTAACAAATATACATCATATAGAATGCATTACATGGTGGAAGAATCAATACAAATATGTTCGTTTGGTCAACATGATCATACTAGTCGGGCGACAGAGGTTAGAAAGACCGTATTCGGAATGACGGTGGTTGGAAGGACCGCGGTCGGCAGGTGGCGGAGGTCCGAAAGACCTTTGTCGGGCGATGGAGGTCGGAAGGACCGTAGTCGGCGGGCGACGAAGGTCTTAAAGACTGTTGTATGATAATGAATGTCAAAAGGACTGTAGTCGGCGGGCGACGAAGGTAGGAAAGACTGTTGTTAGGTGGAAGTCCAACAAGAATTAGAAGCCAGGTGGAAGTCCAACGTCAATTGGTGGCTGGACAGAAGTCCGACGTCAGTCGACAGCCTGGTGGAAGTTCGGCGTCAGTCAACTGCTGGGTTGAATTTTGGCGTCAGTCGATAGCCGGGTGGAAGTTCGGTGTCAATCAACAGCTGGCTGTAAGTCTGACGTAAGTGGGTAGCTGGGTGGAAGTCCGACGTTAGTCGACAGAAGTTTGACATTGGTCGAGGAGTCTGGCGGCAATATAACTATATTTTCTCTTCTTTATTCTCTTCATTTTCTTCCTTCTCTTTATTTTTCTTGGGCTCTCTTTCATGAAAAATGAGGGGTCTATTTATAGTTTTCTGACATTAATATGCCCAATAAATATGAAGGAGATCAAGGGTAAGTTGGAAGTAGTTTGAATGAACGGTCTATGTTGATTCCCTTGATCGTGGATTGTTTATTGGACATTTGAATGGTTT